TCACAACTAAGAAGAGTCTTCCTGGGGTCAGAACAAATCTCATAGAGTGACGTGAAAAACTTGTCTTGGAAAGGGGCCTGAATTTAATTGGATCAGACTGTAGAGCAATTTATATCCAAAGGCATTAATGATAATAATAGGCCACTCAGCTAACAATTAGCAGAACCTAAGAGGTGGAAGTGATATCAACAGAGGAAGAAGACTTAACAGAGAGATCAGGGAAAGACAATGACAACCTTACTAAAATCACCATCTTCCCAGGAAGACTGTTTGTATGGTCATGGCTGTGCCCTCTGAGAAACAACAAGTCCAGAGGGGGGTAGGGGCAGATAACAAGTATCCAGAATTACTATAATATATTTTTTAACATCTCCAGTTTTCAACAACAAATTATGAGCCATTCAAAGAAACAGCAAAATATGACCCATGCACAGGGCAAAAAAGAAGTGGCAACAGAAACTACCTTTGAGAGGGATCAGATAGACTTAGTAGACAAAGAGCTCACAGTAGCTATTACAAATATATTCACAGAACTAAAGAAAATGATGCTTAAATAAGTAAAGGATGGTATAATGTCACTGTCTCTTCAAATAGAGAATATCGATAAAGAGATAAAGATTACTAAAAAGAACCAACTAGAGTTGAAAAGTACAATCCATAAAATGAAAAATTCACTAGAGAGTCTCAGCAATATTTCTGAGCTGGCAGAAGAAAGAATCGGTGAACTGGAAGATAGATGGATAGAAACTATGCAATCTGAAGAACAGAAACAAGAAAGAACGAGGGAAAATGAACAGAGCCTAAGAGAAATGTGGGATACCACTAAGCATCCCAATACACATATGATATGAGACCCAGGAGGAAAGGAGAGCAAGAAAGAAGGAACAAAATATTTGAAGACATAATGGTTGAAAACTTCCTAAATTTGATGAAAATATTACACATCTAAGAAAGTTAATGAACATCGAGTAGGATAATTGTAAAGAGATCCACACTCAGACATATCGTAGTAAAAATATAGAAAGATAAAGAAGAAAAAATCTTAAAGAAGCAAGAGAAAAATTACTCATCATGTACAAAGGAATCTCAATAAGATTAACATCAGAAACAATGGAGGCCATTAGAAAATGAAGGAGCAGTAAAAATATTCCCGGATTAAGGACAACTGACAGAATTCATGCTAGCTGGCTTGCTTTAGAAGAGGTACTAAAAGATGTCCTTCAGGCTGAAAGCAAGTGATCCCAGACGGTACTGCAATTAAAATCATGAAAAAACAAAAAGCACTGGCAAAGGTAATTATATAACCATAGAAGACGATATTAACGCATATTTCTTCTCCTTGTTTCTCTTAACTGATTTAAAGAGAAACTATATGAGACAATATGTACATAATTGTATTGCTGGGCCTATAACAGAAATGTCATAAAATATTTGACAGGACAAATCAGGTGGGTAAGAGCAAAGTTGTATCGCAATTCCTTTATACTTACACTTGAAACTCTTCATAAGAAACCCCACTGGAGATGCTTCCCCTCCTTCTGGAGCTGTGCCCACTGTCTTCATCGTCATCTTCCTCAGAGTCATCCAGGCTTCGTGGGAAACTTCGGCTGCTCATGGGGCGTGGTAAAGAGCTGTGATCCAAGTCCAGGTCCTCCTGAGGAAAATGGGGTCATTAAGCAGGAACACCCAGACTCCATGGAAGCTTCACTGAGGGCTTGGGCTGATGAAAAATGGCTGTGTACCTCAGATTTCTTTGTGGGCAACACCAGACTGTGATCCCCACACTTTTCAATTTCATAGATTGGGAAATTTTCAAAACAGATTTTAATTACCGGCAAGTAGTTGCTAACTTTTTGTTTGGATAAGAAAGAACATTAAAAATAGAATAAAGCAAAGAAAAAGTAAATGAAGAAATATATTATCACCTTTTCATAAATAACACAGTAGTTAACAAAGTAGGAAGGATATAATTTGAGAATGAGAATTTTGACTAAATACAGACTTCAAATACAAAAACTTTACTCATTGTCTTCTTGTTCACATTTCACTATGAGTGGTGAAGTTTTTCACTTACTGGCACAGGATTTAGAAAGCACTGTTCTATACTGTGTCCTCACAGGAAAGTGACTTGTGTATAACAGGCATCTGTATTCTGTGTACCTCAATTACCATGGAATTTTTTTGGTTTGTTTATCCATTTATTTTAAAAGTCATACTAAAGCTTTTAATTATTTTTTTTAAAAGCCCATGTAAATTTACTTTGAACAGTTTCATACTAATTATTCAAATGGAAGGCAACTATTTTATTTTAAATGTTAACTTAAAAATCAAATAATTTTATACCTCCTGAGAAATCTTTCTTTCCATTCTTATAGACAATGTGAAGTATGTAATTACTCAGGTTTCTCTTTTCAAGTTGATTGCTGGAAAGTTTATGGCTAAATTTGTAGCCCAAGTTTTTTCAATGTTTTAAATAATGTTCTTTTTTAATTTTTTAAATTTAATTAATTAATTTATAATAATGTAGCCCAATTTTAATAAGTATTTATGTTTTTATGGGATGCATTTTTCACTTCATTCATAGTCTAGTTTTATATTTCACTTTTAATTCTTTGTTTTGATTTTTTACATTTGTTAATTTATTGAATTTTTATATATTATTGTGTTATATATCCTTGTTAGAATAAGCACAGTATAATACACAAATTGAGAGGGAGAGAGAGAAAGAGAGAGAGAGCGCGAGCCTCTCAATAACCCATTACTTAGTATGGTTCATGGCTGCTAAATAAAATCATGTTCTCCTAAACTAGACCCACCCTCTCTTTTTCCAGGTCGTCTCTCATCTGCTGATGTTCGTGTTCAGTCAGTTCTTGGTCTCCATCTTGGTCATACTTTGTGAATATTGCCTCAATCTCTGCATCAGTATGGCCCTTCCTGAAATTATTGAGAGGTTACAGATGAACTCATTCACGAACATGGCCCAACCCAAACACAGAGACAACGAAATTCAGGAGAAAAGGAGAAATTGCTGACTCAGGGACAGTCTTCCTCTTACAATATGTTCTAGAAAGACACTCAGCTATAAAAAAAAGTGCCTCTGTGAGTACTTGGGCCAGAAATACCCATATCACTATGAATATATCTTTATAGAAGTCATGTCCCAGGATCTCACAATCTGTGTCTCACCCTTTGAGATCTTGTCGAAGTTCATCAAAGTTTAACTTGCCGCCCCCTTGCCGCAGACTCTCTGAAATGTCGTCCACGGTATTTTTTTTTAGTTTTAATTTGACCAAGGCTTTATGGCAGCCCTGTTGAAAAGAAAAGACTTGGTTTAGCGTATTCTCCTTTTGCATTTGCTTTACCTTTCAATTATGGTAATAACTACCATAAAGCCAGTAACCAGAAGCGTGCTTGACATAAATCGGCCCCTTAACAAGTGCGTGTTGAACGAATGAATAATAAACGTATCCCGAGTTTTCCATAAAACTCCTGTGTAAGAGTTATGTGCAAAGAGTCAAAGTCTTTTAGTAAATTAAGAAGAACTAAAAGCCTTTTGCTCATATATGAATTCGAGTTTAGGTTATAGAAATGAAAATCACTACATATTTACAGCTGTCTGCCTCAGAGTATGTAGGAATATGCAACAGTTCATAAGAAGCCTGAGAAACCTGAGTCATGGATTGTTTATTTTCTATATTCTCTCATAGGAATTTCCTTATGTAAGTATGTAAACAAAATTCAGTAAAACGTGGATGCAGATTTTTCACTAATAAACTACAGGCAAGCCTTGCTCTGCATTGTAGTGTAGGACTAGAAAAATGACCATGCAAGCACAAATCTGTGAATTTTAAGTTTTATCCTAAACTTATCCTTAGATCTGCTAAATCACAACATCATGCAACTCCTCTACCCAGTGAACCTAAATGTTGGGATTTCAATGACTCCTCCCAAAGCGGCCATCTTTCTGACTGGAAGATTCTTCTCAGAGATGATATGCTGCAATTTTTATGAGACTTAGAATCTGTGTGCCAGCTCCATAGACTATGATGGTGAATATGCCCTAAAAGCAAACATGATGAGCAGACACTCCCCAAAATCACTTTTTCTAAATATTTGGGCAGCCAGGCCAGTGGGGATCAAGATAAAGGATGGCCACATCAAAGTCAAACATGCTATAAATAAAACAAACTGAAATTTTACTCTTTCCAAAAGGCAAAAAAAGATATTCCCTGAATATCTCAGAACTGAATATCTGGCATTGCGTATCTTAGAAGAAAAGTATGATTTACACTGCAACTTATTTCTATAATAACACTCTGGGATCCAAAAAATATTTAGACAGAGATGCTAAATATATAGAAGCATCTCAGTTGATCACTCTGAACAGTTCATATTAAGTTATTGAAAGGAGGAGAATGCACTAGAATTTGTCTTCCTATTTTTTTCTATCAAAACAAAACAAGTTCCTTTTGTCATGTATAAAGTCTTGAGAATGGGTTAAAGGCATAAACCTGCAGCTAGATAGACCTGGGTCCAAGTCTTGGCCCTGCCATATGCTATGGTCCAGACCAACTGCTACGTAACCTTGGACATGCTTATCTTCTCCATGCATTAGTTACATCATTCCCAGAGTGTGGATAATAGCAATTAATTCACATAGCTGTCATCGGAAATGAATGAGGTAATATATTGTGTTATGGGAGGTTAAGAATGAGTCACTCCAAGATCTGCCTCTGTGGTATGCGGATTGTTTTGAGGTAAAGGCAACTTTAGCCACAGGTTCAAGAGAAACTTCTTAATTACCTAGAATAATTTGAATTAGGGGTCTTGCTCATAATGAGAGATTATCAGAGAAAACCTCTTTTGACCTATCTCTAGGGCAGGACAAACTTCTATTTACTGAGCATTTGCTTTTCTTATCGTCTTGCAATGATCTCGTGAAGCCCACAAGGCACCTTACCTCATCTCTAGCTCAGGATGTCTTATACACCCATGAACCCCTATCTCTGAACCTCTTGTGCATGTGGGGTCTCTGACTCTCTCATATATGTGAGGTTCTCATCCATGTGTGTATTAAATTTGGTTATTTTCTTCTGTTAATCTCTCTCACATCTATTTAATTATTAGACCAGCCAGAAGAATCCTGAGGGTAGAAGCAAGTTTCTTTTTCCTCTACAGCTGGTGCAGAGAGCAGGGTAAACTCTCTGGCGTGAATCCCACACTTCCCCACAGGGCTGCTGCAAATGAGGAGATCCTGGGGCAACTGACACATGCCAGCAGAAGGTAAGGGTTCTTACCATGTCAGCACACCTCTAGATCTCTGTCTGCAGGATCCAGGGAGAATCTTTGTACCTCTTCTAAATTTAGATTGGCAGGAGAAAATATTTGTGAAACTAGTTTCTTGGGCCTAGTGACCCTTGGTTACTTGATATGAGTACTCGTGGATTTTGTTTTTCTCTGTCTCTGTCTGGTTTCTCTCCTTTCATCTTGTTATACATCTTGAAAATTGGGCCTTATGACCAGTGAGAGTGTTTTCTCTTTGGCTTCTACCATCCAGAGGGTATACTTTCCAAGATGCACCTTGCTCTCTTTCTGGCCATGACAAACTCTCTACAGGGTTTTCTGTGTCTACCCCCATTCCTCCCAGAGATGGTTTATTATCTCTGCCAGCTGGAGGATGCTTATGCATCTGATGGGCAGCCAAATAGGCTGTGAATCCAAGTTTAGGGAATCTTAAAACCTTATTCTGTTCAAAGGGGTAAAGCATATGATTCCTTGTTTTTTTGGAAAAGCTGCTTAAAGACAGTTCTCCCCTTACATCCCTTATTTCTTAGGCTAACTGAGGGAATAAACTTTCTTGTGAGGGTTGTATCTTTTTGCACTTTCCTTTGAAGATGCCTCTTACATTCTTAGTATTGGTTTGCGTCCCTATAGATTCTACTGCCAAGGCCAGACGATGGATCTTTTTAATTGGAAAAACTTCTAAATTGAAAAGACAGACATTTTTTTCTTAGAGAGATCTCATATTGTTATAATAGCTAGTCATTAAGATTCCCTGAAGAAGATGGCAGGACAGAAATTAGAACAAAAATCAAAGTCCACTCAGATCCCTTCCTATTTGCCATCAGACATTGGCAGATACTGTTAAAAAGAACAACAAAATTACAACATTGAAAGTACAATTGCTCTGCACTTAAAAAGAAAATGAAGGAAAAAGAGTGGCAAAATCTTACTTAAAGGCAACCTAAAATTTTATGTCCTAAGAACTCAGCTTAATAACTGTCAGGTTCAAGTTCCAAAATATGGCCAGACAGAAACGTGGCCTAAGCTCCATTTACAAGTAGAGTACTATCAAACTGCTGCCAGCCCTCAAGGAAATAACAATCTAAAGTTACAATGGCTATTGTGAGGAATATGATAATTAGAAAGAAAAAAATTGGAATAAATAAAACAGACACTGATGGGGTTAAAACAGGTTTTAGAAGAGCACTACCAAAGGCTAAATGGTCCAAACTGAACTCTTGTTGGTCCCCCCACTTTGAAAGGCCCCAAACAAGTCTGCTCTATTTATCCCGGTGTAAAGAAATTTAAGACTGTAAAGAAGCAATTATAATAAGAAAAATCTGACCAGCAGTCACCTGGGGTAACAGTTAAGTTGGCTTAAGCAAACAAGCACTTATATGAGAATTTTCAAAAATATAACAGAAACTAACTCAAAAACTTTTTAGAATCACATGATCTGAAAAAATATTTGATATTAAAACTGGTGTGAGTTTGGTTTGGTTAAACAGAATTTAGAATAATCAGCATTAAATATTACTTTTATTTTACCTGGGTTTATTAGTAAAATAAGTTCATGTTATTTCTGTTGCAAAATTTGTCAGCAAGAAAGTAACTTGGTATGATAAAATTTTCATAAGTAATCTAAACTTTAAGTTAGGAGCAAATAAATTAAGTAAATATAAATAGGATAAAAGGTTTCTTTTTAGGTGAACTTTTTAGCAATAATTATATTGTTAAAAATGGCTTCCTACATCTCTGGCAAATTGAAACTTTAAAATTTTGCTAACTAAATTAAGTGATGGATATTTATAGAATGTCTAGACCATTTCCAAATAAGATAAAATAACAAAACATTAATTACTGAACATAAGTATCAACTTTCTGCTACTTATTATAGAGAAACTAAAGATTTGGGTCTATTAGTAAATAGGCATACCCCACATTAAAAAATTTTGTGCTGTGAGGAAATACATATATATCTAGAAGTTGATATGTGTTCATAAATCTATCAATTTGAAGAATACTGGTGTAACAGTACACATTGCTTGCTTCTTAGTTTTCACTAGAAATTAAAGGTTTTAAAGAATTCTAATATAATTAAAGCTACAGACATTAAAAATAATAGAGAAAATAACTGTGTATACAAGAAAAACAGGATATATGTTAGCTTTAATAAAAGGTATGCGATATGGAGATGTATTGTTGAGGGAAAGGAAATTAATTTTGCCCTAACGTGAGGTTAGTTGCTTCAGAATGAAAAAGAGGAAAAACAGGACAAAAATCTAAATGCAGAAAGAAATATCGAGAAAGGATATTTTACGTGTAGTCAAGCTGAATAAGACTGAAATAAATTTAATTAAGTAAGTGAATTTAAATATCAAAAGTAAGCTGATGCAAAATTAGACTTAGGTGTTTTCTCTGCTAAACAGAACTGTTGATCTGATATGGTGATATGGTGATAAAGTTTTCTGATATGGTGGAAAAGTTTTCTACCTAGAAAGCAAAAATTCTATTGTTTTCTCAAAATAAGTTTTTGTTTTATGTTGTCTAGATCAGGTCCTTGATTACATAAGAAAACTGAATCTCCTCAATGGTAAGAACTGAGTTTTACTAATAATCATGTAAACTTCTGTATTTGTCTTTGAAATCTTTTATTGTCACTTAGGTTAAATGGATAATTAAGTGTGGCTTCATAATGCCTTACGATCCTATTTAGTCAAATGTTTAAACCTTTTGATGTATTTTGACACACTTCCCAAAATTTAAATTATAAATAGAGTCTTGGCCTGGGAATAACTCCCAAGTATTCCACAAGGGCCTCTTAGAACACCTAAAAAAAATCATTTTCTCTCCTTACAAAAATAAATATTAAACTAATTAGGTTTATTTTGGTGTGTTGAAACTAGGTGAGAAGCACTGTCAAATAAGAAATGACATTGAGTCTTCTTTATGTTGTATTTGTATTTGTACATGTTATAAGTGTTTTAGAAATCATGTGAAATTCCTGGAAATCCGAGATGTCCTGACATAAAATGTCTGTCATCAAAAGTGAGGCATACAATAAAAGGACTGAACCTGAGTATCAGATTGTGGCACATGTAGAGAAGTCCATTCTGTTTCTGCAAAACTGACCCCCTCATTGCCAGACCTTTGTCATCCTGATGTCCTTGCGTGGCAATAGTCTACTCCTGACTCAGAGAAATACAAATGGGTAAACAATGGCTGTGAATTAAATAAATTGTCAGAGCTATGGGAAACCCAAGACAGCCACTTGGTTCTTCCCGGCTTTCTGACATTTTTTCGCTTTTTGTATTCCTTCACCCACGGTACATTTAATCCAGATTTCATTCAACTGCCACTTAGTTTGGGTTATCGATGTTCCTGTTGTTTGTTGTTGTATGTATGTTCTATGGATGAGTTGAAGCTTTCCCTGCCACAAGGCTGATGCCCTCACAGTGGCAAAGAAACTGTCAGAAAACTGTTTCCCACTTGGGGTACACCTTCCACAGTCTCTAGTGATCAAGGCACCCACTTCACTGAGCCAGTCATACAAATCTTGACAGACAGCCTTGCAAACTTTTTGGAATTATCACTGACTCTCTCACCCTCAATTATCAGGCAAGGTCGAGAGAACTAATGGAAAAACTGGATTCAAGCAAAACAAGTTTAATTACACAAGTCTAAATGAACTGATGAAAATGGTTACAATTTTTATGATTTTTTCTATTGAAATTACCCATTTAAAAAAATCTTTTGTTTCCAGATAAAAGGAAACTGTTTCTCTTAAACTACCTATGACTTACAGCAACTTGGTGAATTACACTTTTGCGAGCAGTATTAAAACATTTATATTTTTCTCCCTACCTGGTCCCTCCGGAATTTGGAAACTTAATAAGTATTTTTTTTTCATGACAATATGGTTATTTACATAACAATAAGAATCTATTCTCCTTATAACAGGACACAATTGGAAACTTGTTTTATTACCAAGGCTTTGACTGGAAAGTCACACTTGAGAGAGCCATGCATAAATTGAGATATTACTAGACAGTTTTAAGAAATTAAAGCTGACTTATGGAAGCTAATAAAAATCCTTGGAAATATTGGCCTGCTACCTTGCTTAAAGATTTTCAGCGGCCTTACCATGTGAATAAAGAATGTCACTTCTTGGCAGGTGTATAGGAATCTTAGGGTATTTGGGGGTCCTAAAGAAGAGAGGAACTCACCCAAATCCATGGGTATTGCAGGAAATGTTTGATAGCAAGTCTTGCCTTGGCTTTTTCTTTGGCCTTGAGAGGCCTTTTTAAATTCAATCTGAGGATTCCTTATGGAAAATCCAGCAAAACAGACGTAAAGGAATCTATGTTTTTAATGACTATTTTTGCTGGATTTACATAAATAATCAGGCCGAGTTTACTGAAATTCAGCCTAATTTATTTGCAAATAAGTTAGTCTTAATTTGGCTATATTTGGTTAAAATGGGGGTGATTTTAGAGAGAAAAAATTATGTTTTAATAGAAGCCATAGTATAACTTTGTGGATATTGGATTCTAGTCTGTTTATTGACTTTTGAGGTTTTTTTTTTTTTTAACTTTTCTACCTGTAAAATGGACTGGATCCTGAATTTTTCTAGTTTTCTTAAATATTTGGCTACAACCCTTCGAACTAATATTTTCATTTTCCCATCCTTCAACTTGGAATCATTGAGAACGAAAACTGGCCTTTTTCCAAGGCCATGCAAGCTAAAGTGGGACAACTTGATTACAGACTTCAGAGAAATCACCACAAACAGCTCATTTATGCACAATCTTTGTGCTTGTTGTAGAAAGATCACCAGAGACAATCAAACTGCACACTAGGAGAATCTATCACACTGTAACTGCCTGTTTTCACTTCATCTGAAGATAATTTGAGACAGACATCTAGAAATCTTGACTGCCTGCCTTCAGAACTCAGAAACTAGGATTATAGTAACCTTTGGTTTTCTTTTGTTTCCATAAAGATGCCTCTTATTAAACATCTGATTGCTTGTACCAGAGCCTTAACTTTGGGAGCCCACCTGCATCACCATCTCTTGAAGTGAGAAACAACTGTTTAAATCAACAGAACTTTTCTGAAGACTGAGACCACTTTAATGAGATATAGAACAACTTATCAACCCAATTTCTGGAATGTGAGACTTCCCGGGAAGTTTCAGAGGAGGGAACTGTGGGGGTTTAGAACGAGTCACTCCAAGAAATGCTTCTGTGGCATGCAGATTGTTTAGCGCTAAAGGCAATTTAAGCTGCAAGCTAAAGAGAAACTTCACCCCCAGCCTCAACTACCTAGAAGAATTTTAGAGGCTTTGCCCATAAGAGATTTATCAGAGCTAAACTCTTTCACCTATATATAGGGCAGGGCAAACTTCTATTTACTAAAGGTCTGCTCTTCTTACCATCCTGCAATTACCTTTTGAAGCCCCCAAGGCGCCTTATTTCACCCCTAGCTCAGGATGTCTTAGACACTCATGTTCCCTTTTGGTCTCTGAACCTCTTTTGCATGTGGGCTCTCTGACTCTCTCATGTATGTGGGGTTACCATCCATACGTATGTATTAAATTTGGTTATTTTCTCTTGCTAATGTGTCTCATGTCTCTTTGATTATTAGACCAGCCAGAAGAACCTTGAGGAAAGCTTGTTTCTCTTCCACAGTATTCACTGCAAGGATGCAAAAGCATTAGCTACTATTATTATTGCTTGTTATTTATTAGCACATGATAATGATGTTCACTAGAGAAAAGGATCCCAGTTTGTCTAATGATTTGTGAGCCTTGGGAACAAGACAGGGACATATGATGCTGGTCCCAACACACTGCTTAAATTTGCACTGCGACTAATGGTTTAGTATAAAACCTGAAATATGATTTAAAACCTGATTTAGCTTTGAACTCAAGAATGTGGTTAATGGATAGTTAAATGTTCCTTAGGCAAACTCAGAAATTACTGGATCCATTAACTCCTTGGCAGGATAAGCAGTCCAGCTCTTCCCTCAGGAAAAAAGAAAAAAGAACAAAAAAATATCCAGAGTATTTTGAACACTGCTTGCCTTCTTCTTGTGTAACTTTAACGATATAGAGTGAACAGATGTCTTAGTGAGTTACCATAATCCTTTCTTAACATGGCTCAGCTCCCAACATTTTATCTTTTTATGTTATTTTAACGTCGTGAAATATTGCCAAGAGTTCCATAAATGTGAAGTTTTTTGCCATTGTCATTTCCTGTGTGACATCTTCATCCATTCTGTCACAATCACTTTCCTCATTTATATTGATAAATTTGCCTTCGCTAAGTTATTCTGGCTGCATATCTAGATATTGTGAATGTCTGGACACTCCCATCGCCAGCTACTTACTTCTTCTATAAATCTAATACATTTGTTTTGATTTTCACTTCCAGTGTTATCATTCTTTCTTTCTTTGCTACACTTTCATCTTTGCTGGCTCATTCTCTCTTCCAATTATTCATTTTGTAAAATGTCACATGGTTTATCACTGGGTGATAAGGAGGAAATATAACTACATGTTTGTGTGTGAACTGAATAGCAGGTCCTCAGTGACCAATCTGAGACTTTGCAAGAAGTGACATTATTGGTCACTAATTATGATGCACATCTGTCATTTATGTAACAATTTGCAGTGAAGTTTGCACTTTATGTTATTACTCAGTTAATATACTGTGATAACTGAAAGTGAATTTTGCACTTTATGCTATTACTCACAGTCAATATACTGTGATAACTAAAATTTGAACTGTTTGAAAAGCTGGTGTTATTTAACTGAAATAATTAAAATTTGTGGATATTAGAACCAAAGTGCCAAGTGAAGACTGCTTCCCTGGAGATTTGCTAAAATGTAATCAACTGTTATGCAAAATTCAGGAAAATGCAAATCTTAGGTCCCATCCAAAGGACCTTGTTTTATGAAGAGGAAGTTCTGAGTTAAATGTGATTCAAGTCGTACGGCTTGAACTAACCGAAAAGGAGCCATTGTAGCTTAGCAAAATGATGTTAGGGAACAAGTTATGTACTTTAGCTGTAGTTATTTGTTGTTTAAGTTTTATACTTTAAACCAAATAAAGAAGTCACATTAAGAACGAAGCTGTCCAATTTCCCTGACTTGCCCTTCTACTTAACAAACACTTCCTGAGAAGTAAGTGAGAGTTCTCAGGCCCTGAGGCTGTGGCCTTACTCTGTGGACCTTTCCTTTGACTATTTTAAAATTTCCTTGGAAGGTCAAGGACAAAGGGTGAACTACAAAATATTTAATAGAAAAAGAGGAAATATATTTATAATCTTCCCTTCTGGTTTATTCTGAACTCTGGATCTGGAAGTGAGAGCCAACTAGAGGAGATGTCAAAACAAATAAAGGGGATGAAACCACCAACTCAGCTCTAAGAGTCTAAAGAGTTTATTGAGAATTTAATTTCAGGACACTGAAGAATTTCCAGAACTTAAATCCAAGCTAGCAGTATACCCATCTCTAGCTCCAAGAACACTTAAATTTTTCTTATAATATAGCAATCTACTCTTTATTTTAAACAATGACAATTGATTAATGTTAATTTGGAAATCTGGCTGAAACAAGGCTCATTTTATGTGGAAAATAAAACAATTTCGAGAATTAGAGCTTGTCATACCTTTCTGATAAGATCTGAGAGTTCCATTTCAGCTTTCTGCTGTGCCAAATCAGATTTAACTTCAGAGTAAGTATCATTGATGATGGCCAAAAACATATTCTGTGTGTAAATCAAAGGAAAGTTGAGGTTAAAGGAAAAACCTAAATATATTTATAAACATCAATCTTTCACATATGCTTTTTTGTTTACCTTTTTTTTTTCAATTTAATGTCTTAAGAAGTCATAAATTAATAGTTTTGCAACCATATGCTTTGGGAAAATTGTTTTTTTCAATGAAGTCATGCCAAAGGAAAATGCAAGGTATTTTCTTATTTATAAAATCATATACTGTGATATACTTTATAAAGAGACAAGAATAAAATATGTCAAAATATTAATGTATTTATGAATGGAGAAATTATTTTATTATTTTTGCTTATCTATGTTCTCTAAATTTCCTTTCATTTGACAAATTATTTGGAGTGTAGCACTCTAAAACAGCTCATCAAATTTTGAAAGTCAGCAACAGACAAATGGAATTTGTCTATGCTTATTCCAAATATTATTATATAATATTATTTTAGCTTTATAGAACACATTTTGAAGAGTTAAAAAGATCTCTGCAAATAGGGATATGGTAGGCCTAGTAGGGAGATAGTTAAGAAAAGCTTAGTGGATGAGACATAGACTTTGGAGTTAAGCAAACTCGGGTTTTAGTTTTAACATTGCCAAGACTACATTGTTTAAATTTTCTAATCTTCATTTAAAAATGTATTTATTTGTTCTTCCATTTATAAAATGGGAAAAATAACATACCTCCCCTATAGATCTGTTGTGAGGATTAATGAGAAAATCTACCTAAAGTGCTTAAAGACAGGGCCTAATGTATGGTAAGTGCTACGTAATTTATAGCCATTATTATTCAGTAATGGTTAGTTCATTGTCCTGACTTTTCCTTCCTCAGTATAATGATCTGCATTTCCAATACCTGTTTCCAACAGATTTTTCTGGAAGCACTGCACCCAGTTACAGGTCCTTCTTTAACATGCTCTCTCTCTCGTTTTCCTTTTTAGCACTACAGTTTATAAGTACAGAGTTGT